AAATAAGACAAATGACATGAACATATTTCAAGAAAGAAACCAATTGTCAAAGCAATATAATTTTCTAGAAGAAATAGAAAATCTTTGTAGACCTATAACAAGAATTAGTAATTTAAAAATCTTCCCACAAAAAAAAGTATGAGTCCAGACAGCTTCACTATTGAATTCTATCAAATGTTTAAAGAGATAATACCAATAGCTCATAAACTTCTTTCAGAAAAAGAGGTGGGAACATCTTCCAATTCCATCATAGTGAGAACCTGACTCAACAGAGCTGGAGGTGTCTCTCAGTGCCAGAGCACTTACCTAGCATGGATGAGATCTAGGTTCAATCCCCAGCACTGCACAAAGCAAGCAAGAAAGAAATGTGGAGGAAGAAAGAAAACAAAAAGGCCCTGCAGTAGCCAAAATAATGTTTAAAAAGAACAAAATTGGAGGATTTATGATTCATAACTTCCTATGGTTAGCAAGTCTACATGAATGGAACAAAATTGAGAGTCCAGAAGTGAACTCTTATGTTTTAACAAAGTGCCAAGACAGTTCAATGGGGAAAAGATTATATATTTGGTACATCCCCAAGTTCTTTTTATTTTTTGAGACAAGGTCTCACTTCATTGCTGAATTTGGGATCTTCCTGACCTTACCTCCCAAGTTACAGGCATGTGCCAATATGTCCAGCAAGATAAATCTTTGCAACAAGTGTTGCTGGGAAAATTGGTTATTTTGGGAGATTCAATCATAGCCACCCAAGGTATCAAATCCCAATCCTTGGAATTTGCAATTGTTACCTTGTTTGCAATAAGGGATCTGTGCAGATGTGATTAGTTTAAGACTGAGATGAGATTAGCCTGGATTAGCCTAGTGGACATGGAATTCCACAAGTGTCCCTCTAAGGCAGAGCCAGTTGAGGAAATTTATACAGGGTATCAATGCCTTTGTCAGGGAAGACTGAGGCTGCGATCCATGGGAGTGGTACAACTGAAGCTAAGGATGACCAGCTGCCACCAGAGGCAGGGAGCGTCCTCAGAGCCTTCAGCAGGAGAGCAGTGGTTCCAGCCCCCTTGATTTCAGATTCAGAACGGTGAGAAAATGAAGTTCTGCTGTTGTAAGCCATTGATATATGCTGATTTGTCATAGAAACCTAACACAGGATCCAACAAACCCACTTAGACCCTGCTCTATAGATCACACTATATACAAAAATTAACTTGAAGTTGACTGTAGCCCTAAAACTAATAAAACTTCCAGGAGGAAACCTTTTAAGTCTTGGGTTTGGGAAAGAATTCTCATAACACCAAAGGCATGAGACATAAAAGAAAAGACATTATGAAGGAAATGAGAACAAGCCACAGACTGCAGAATTATATGCAGATCATGTATCTAATAAAGGATGTGTATCCAGACACATAAAAAAATATTTAATGCTAAGATAACAAAAAACCCAGTTTACAAATGAGTGAAATAAAAAAAAATATTTAATGCTAAGATAACAAAAAACCCAGTTTACAAATGAGTGAAAGTCTTAACATTTCAACAAAAGAGCCATATGAATGGTAAATAATCACATGAAAGAATATTCAACATCAGTATGAGAAAAATGCCAACTAAAGCTACAAAGAGATACCACCGCACACCCAACAGAACAGCTATCCCCAAAAAGATAGATAATACTAATATTGGCAAGGTATGGAAAAACTAAAGGTCTCATACTCTGCTGGTGGAAATGTAAAATGGTACGATCACTTTGTAAAATAATTCAGCAATTTCTTAAAAAGTTAACATAGATTGAGCATATGCACTATAGTCTATATGTTTGTGTACCCCACTCCCAAATTTGTGTGTAGAAATCTATTCCTAGTGTGGTAGCCTTAGCAAGTGGGGCCTTTCAGAGCTGATTGGATCTTGAGGGCAAAACTCTCATGAATGGGATTAGTGCCCTTATAAAAGAGGCCCGGGGGAGCTCACTGGCACCTGTCACCATATCAGGACAGAGAAGGTGCCATCCATGAGGCCCCAGACACTAAGTCCCTGGGCACTTTGATTGTGGAATTCCCAGGCTCTAGATGAGTGAGAAATAAATTTCAGTTTTTCACAAGTCTATGATGTAGCAAGGGGAGGCGGGGGAAAAAACAGGAAAATATAGCTCAGTAATTTTACTCCCAAGAAAAATAAAAACATGTTCATGCAAAACCAAAACATGCATACAAATGTTTATAGCAACATTATTTGTAATGGTCCCAAACTGAAATCAATCACAATGCCTACTAACTTGTGAATGAACAAGTAAAATGTGGTGTATCTATACAATGGACTAGAACTCAGCAATACAAAGTAATGATGCTCAACCTGTATTAAGTCATTTCTGTGTTAAGTCATTAAGGACACAGTAATGATCAGGGCTGAGGTTGTGGCTTACAGTGGCAGAGGGCTTGCCTCCCACGTATGAGGCACTGAGTTCGATCCTCAGCACCACATCTAAATAAATAAATTAAATAAAGGTATTATGTCCATCCACAACTAAAAAAAATAGTTTTTAAAAAATTAATGATCTACTCTCAAAATGTTAAAATGGATGAATCTCAAAAACATTTTAAGTTAAAGAAACCAGACAGAATACATGGCAGAGTACAGGAATCCACAGGGAGTCCATGTCCAGCGAAAGCAAAGTGAGCAAGAAACAAAAGATTACCTGTGATGCGGAGGTACCATGGACTGAGAACCAGCATTGGGGATGTTTTGGGGGTGATGATCTAAAACTGGATCATGGCGATGGACACACAACTCTGTGAATACAGGCCGAGCACCATGGCGTAAAAATTCAAAATACAAAGTGCTCTAAAATGCAAGACTTTGGAGCACTGACACGATTCCACAATTGGAAAATTACACAGCTTGAAGCTTTCTTTCATAAGCAAAATTATTTAAAATACTATAATAAAATTACCTTCAGCTATGTGCATAAGGTACATGTGAAACATAAATGAATTTCATGTTCAGACTGGGGTGGCCTCCCAAGAGAGCTCATTATGTATGCAAATATTCTAAAATCCAAAATAATCAAAGGCCAAAACATTTGTGGTCTCAAGCATTTTGAATAAGGGATGCTCAATCTGAATCGAGTACAAGTTCAATCCTTGGAATAAATGCAGGTTAAAACTGATTTTCAGTCCTGACAGCAAATATTTCCCTATCTGTATAGCCCATAATAAGCAATCAGGGAGCAGCGTGGTGCAGAACAGAGCAGTGCCTCTAAGCACCAAAAGGTAGTGTTCCAGAACAGAGAACGCGGCGGGAGGCATCCAAAGGCAAGCTTTGAATCAGGAAACCCCAGAGGCCCAAGTCTCCTTAATAGCCTGGTGTGCTTGGAGCAACCCTCTCCTTAGTGAACAGGTCCTTCCTAGGAAAGAGGGGTTGGGCTAAAGGTTTGTCCTTTTTTTCATTTGATTCTAAATTTGTAAATTTATCATGAACATTTATTCATAAATCCCAAGTTAATATTTTTTAAAATATTTATTTACTTGTCGATAGACACAATATCTTTATTTATTCAGTTTTATGTGGTGCTGAGGATCGAACCCAGTGCCTCACACATGCAAGGCAGGCGCTCTACCACTGAGCTGTAGCCCTAGCCCACAAGTTAATATTTATTACTAACTTTTTATTGTATATGACAGCAGAATGCATTACAATTCATATTACAAATACATAATATAGAGCACAATTTTTTCATATCTCTGGTTGTATACAAAGTATGTTGACACCAATTCATGTCTTCATACACGTACTTTGGATAATGATGTCCATCACATTCCACCATCATTTCTAACCCCCTGCCCCCTTCCTTCCCCTCCAGTTCATCTGTCCCTATCTAGAGTTCATCTATTCCTCCCATGCTCCCCCTCCCTATCCTACTATGAGTCAGCCTCCTTTATATCAGAGAAAACATTCAGCATTCAGTTTTTTGGTATTGGCTAATGGTAGCTATTATGAATACAAACAACAATAAGTGTTGGCAAGGATGTGGGGGAAAAGGCACACTCATACATTGCTGGTGGGACTGCAAATTGGTGCAGCCAATATGGAAAGCAGTGTGGAGATTCCTTGGAAAACTGGGAATGGAACCACCATTTGACCCAGCTATCCTTCTCCTCGGTCTATACCCAAAGGACTTAAAAACAGCATACTACAGGGACACAGCCACATCAATGTTTATAGCAGCACAATTCACAATAGCTAAACTGTGGGGCCAACCTCAAGGCCCTTTAGTACATGAATGGATAAAAAAAAATGTGGCATATATACACAATGGAATATTACTCAGCCTTATAAGAGAATAAAATCATGGCATTTGCAGGTAAATGGATGGAGTTAGAGAAGATAATGCTAAGTGAAGTTAGCCAATCCAAGGTTTGTATTTTTCAGATCTCAAATCCTCAGAGTGTTTGCCCCAGGCATCCAAAACTGTGAGCCAAATAAAACTCTTTTCTTTATAAGGTTAGCCTGCCTCAGGCATTTCATTTTAGCCACTAAAAATGGATGAATAAGATCTTTTCCCCCTAGAAACTTAATACTTTCCCCTCCTTGAACTAATGGCTGAGAACCAACTTATTCACAGCAATGTTCATTTTTGTGCATACCCTAGAGGAATCTTTCTTTTCCCACATTTTTTATTGGTGTATTGTAGATGTTCAGGATGATGAGATTTGTTGTTACATATTCACATACACACATGATGTAACAATATAATTTGGCCAGTATCACTTCCCCCCTCCCTCCATACCCTGGTTTCTTTCTAGAGGAACCTTTTGTTCCTTCCTGTCCTGCTGTTTATTTCCACAGATCCTGGGAAGTCTCAGGAGACAGACGAGCTTACTGCACAGTGGAGAGGGAGATCAAGAGCCAGGCTCAAGCGGGATCTAGACCTGGACGCCAGCATCTCCTCCCACCATCTGTCCAAGCCTGGACAGTTGCTTCTGTTCTCTGTGCCTCAGTTTCCTTACCTGAAAAATGGTAATAAAAGTGCCCAAGCCCGCAGGATTGTTGTAAGGGTTAGATGAGGTGATACAGGAAGTATTTAAAAGTGCACCTTCCAGGTAGTAAGTACTGAACCAGTGTTACTTATTAATGATGATCACATGACTAACAGACACCAGTGGTAACAGCTCCGTTCAGAAGCACCAGTCTCTTCCTTCTGGCTTGATCCACACGGCACCTCTCCAAGGGGGGCTTGAACCTGATGTGAAGTCCAAGGCCTGGACCCGACTGCAAGTTGCTTGGCAGAAACCCCTCCAAATGCTGAAGTCGTCCCAGGAGAGGGGGCGGGGTTTTCTACATCAAGGTCCTTCAAGCAGCTTCCAGGACGGTCCGCTCGGAAACCCCAAGGTCCTGGCAGTCAATTCTCAATGCACCCGCCTGCTCCCCGTGTGACTGACTGACTCAAAACCCAGGGACCCAGTGGTTCCCCTGAGCGCTCAGGGGGAAGGAAGCCAACCCCTGGTTCAGGTTGCCCCCGCCCCAGAGCATGGGTGTTTTCTTCTGCCGCCCCACGGGCACCCTGCGGACACCCCTGCGAGTGCAGGAGGTGAGCAGGACCGGGGCGTGTCGCTGCAGCTCCCAAGCGTCTTCCGGTGGCCAAGATTTGCCTTGGCACCTTATGGCCCCTTTTCAGCCCGAGTTCAGGGCAATTCGAGGGAGGTCTGAGGCCAGGCCTTGGGACCCTCCTGCGAGCTCCCTGCACGCTGATCCCTGGGGTCCCTCGGGCACGGAAGGAGCCCCGCCCGGATCTACGTGCCCTTCCCTACATGGCAGTCCGGGCAGTGCCACCCGGTGGTTTTGAGTTAGAACAGGACCGAGCAGCTTACGTGCCTCTCTGCCAGCAGCTGAAATGCGGTCACTTCTGCCTTTGTAAGTTTTGGTTCTTTGGTTCCAGCAAAAAATGAACCCTTAGCCCTGGTGCCCAATACCTGTGCTCTCGGGTTGCAGCTGAGCTGTGCACTTTGTCCCCTGTTCCCACATGGTGCGCGTGTGGCCCTGACTGGCTCTGGACCGTGCTTCTTCTGCCTCTGCCTTAAAGCACACGTCCTGCGAGGTCCTGCGAGGTCCCTTAGTTGTCATTCCTAGAGATGAGGAGTCATGGTTTTCTCTTGTTCACATCTTTAAATTACACAAGTGCCACGCATTCATATTAAACATCCAAACATGGAGGAGACGTGAGGAACAGAACTTGAACATCCGGTTTCACGCCCTCCCCCACACTGGGTGGGCTATCCCAAGAATGGGTGGGCTAGCCTAAGAATGGGTTCCAGACACTTCTATATCCACTTACCTTCAAACGGTTTTCAAACATTGTAAAAAGAGCAATTTCATTGTTTTGACACGAAGTAGGAGTCTGTTCCCACCAGTACTTTATTCTTTTTAATCATGCAGTGTGTCCTGTAGTACAATTTTCGTGACCAATTTTCTCTTTGTAAACCTTTCAGTTTCTTTCTTTCTTTCTTTTTCTCTTACAAACAGGTCTGACATGAACATCCTTGAACTTTATGTGCATCTTCAAGAATTTCTGTGGTGTAGATTCCCAGAACTGAAATCACTCTGTCTACAGATTTGCAAAATCTTTGATAGACACCAGCGAATATCTGATCTGTTATCCCTACCACAGATAGATATATTTTTTTCTTTCTGTTGTTGAGTTTGTGCTGTTTGTTGTCTCTCTCCATACAACTGTGTGAGTTTACCTTGACAAATGTACCAGTGTGTTCCGTTTTGTCCTGCAAGTCTTTCCTTGCTTGGATAAGTGTCCCTCCCCTAGAATTATGAAAACACCGTCCTCTCCCCACTCCATAATTTCACAGGTTCCTCGAGTATTCGCAGCTGCTCGGTGAGTGATCCACCCCTGGGTCAAGGCCAGAACTTTCCAAGTACACTACTACAGGTTTCTGATACGCTTTTGCATCTGGTAGGACGAACTTTCCCTCTTTCTCAAAATATTCTCAGCTACTCTTTTCTTCCTCTTCTTCTTCTTTCTTCTTTCTTCTTTTTTTAAGCTGGGGGTTGCACCCAGGGGCACTTTACCACTGAGCTACATCCCCAGCCATTTTTAATTTTCTTTTATTTTGAAGGAGGGTCTCACTAAGTTGTTTAAGGTCTCACTAAGTTGCTGAGGCTGCCCTTGAACTTGTGATCCTCCTGCCTCAGTCTCCCGTGCTGCTGGGATTGCAGATGTGCGTCCGCTGCTCCAACCAGCTGTGCTGGAGTAATAAAATCCTCAGAAAGGGACAGTATAATACTCATCTTTGTCCCCGCGCCCCCAGCACCAGTCCCAAACATACTTGATAACCATTTATTCAACACATAGACAAAAGCAAGAAGCTCTCGGTACAGACTCAGACTTCGCTGTTCCTCGTAACAGCTGTAGGATCTTGAGCAAGGGCTTCACTTCTGCGACAGCTGGCTTTCTCGTTGGGAACACACCCACAGTCACGCCAGCCCGCCTAGCTACGGTTCACTCCAGCACCAGACGACGCAGTCCGTGCGCTGGGGCAGCAGAGTTTGGGGGAAATGTACCAGAGTGAAGCCCATGCCTAATGGGATGAAGAGGAGCACCTGGAAATAGGAACAAAAGCCAGCAAAGAAATTACAGCGTCCTCCCCACTGTCTGCCTACATTCCCAACCACCCACAGGAGGCGAGAGACCTCCTGTTCACAGGACACCTGGAAGTCTCTGGAAGCAGCCCTGGAGCCCTGGAAAAAGTACATCTTCCCCTGCCTCCCCCCCCCAAAAAAAAAACCCAACAAAAACAAACAAATAAATGAAACCTCAATAGGTAAACCTCTGCTTAGACCATCTGACATCCCCAAAGAGGGTGCCCAGCCCAAACCCAGAACAGGCTCCCCCCACCCCCGGGTCCTCCGGGTGCCTCCTGGCTACCAGAACTTGGCCAGAAGACAGTGTTTCTAGAAGGCTCACCATGTGCCAGACTCTGTTCTGAGCACTTGTGCGTTAGCTCACTCCATCTTCAAGAAAACCTTGGGAAGCAGGTGTCGTTGACATCGGATTTTTTGGCTGAGGACTTGGAGGTACAGAGAGCTAAGGTGACTCACCTGAGGTCACATAGCGAGTGAGAGATGGAACCTGAATAGAGCCCAGGCCAATTTGCTCCAGTGTCTGTGCCAAATCACACTGTGTTACTATGCAAGATCACGAATCCATGACGTTCTTTCTGTTGGTTGAGCGCACACACACACACACACACACACACACCCCACAGTGGGTCCTCCATATCCAGGGGTTTTGTGGATTTGTACTGAACATGTACTGGGCTTTTATTGGTGGTGGGTTCATTATTCCCTGAACAATACAACTGTTTAAAAAAATTATTGACAGACCCTTACATCATATGAGGTATTGCAGGTGATCTAGACAGGATTTAAAGTACTCAGGAGGATGAGAGTAGTTACATATAAACACTACACCATTGTATATAAGGAATTTGAGCATCTGCAGATTTTGGTATCCACATGGGGGTCCTGAAACTGATCCCCTCCAGATACCGAGGGACACCTGGACAGGCAAGAATCCTGAGACTGTTAGATGTCTGTCTGTCTGTGGTAGTGATGTACGCATCCAGAGTAACGTGTCTGTGTGACTCTGAGCTAATGCCAGTGGTTCTTGTTTCTACATGTTGTAATGCTGAGAAATGTTAGCTTCTTTGTAATTATCTGGCTTTGTGTGAAAAATTCAACAATATACTTCATTTTTAGAAAAGAAATCCATATTAGAAAAAGGAAAACATAAAGTACTTGAGAAATAAAAATTCCTGGCTTATCTAATTTACTCTCAAGCCAATTTTTTTTCTGTTTAATTTTATATTCTTGAAATCTACTAAAAAATGTTGTGCAGAGTAAAATTGAGGCATATTTAATCATTATAAAAGATTTTCTTTATTTTTTTATTTGCCAGATAAAAACATATCTACTTGAATCCTTCTATTTTGTGAATAATATATTGGCACCATTTTTGGATTGTTTAAATTTTTCAATTATCAAGCAACCTAAGTGAAATTGTTATTATCTAGGTGAATCTTAAGTGAGATATTACCTTTAACTTTTGAAAGATATAGATAAGGTTAGTTGACATTAACACTTTTTTCTTTAACAATGACAGCAGAATAATATGTGCATGTGGTTAAAAAAAATCAAAACTATGTTGAAGAATTTCCACCCACTGTTACCCCCTTGTTATTGTTGGGTGTGAGGTGTCCTCCAAAAGCTCATGTGAGAGACAATCCAAGAGGAGAAATGATTGGGTTATGAGAGCCTTAACCCAATCAGTGAATTAATACCCTGATGGGATTGAGTGGTAACTGAAGTGGGTGGGGTACTGGAGGAGGTGGGCACTGGGGGCATGGTTTCGAGGTATATGTATTTTTAGCTGATGAGTGGAGTCTCTCTCTTTGCTTCCGGATCATCATGTGAACCTCTTCCCTCTGTCACTCTCTTCCGCCATGATGTTCAGCCTCACCTCTATGGACTGAGACCTCTGAAGCCATGAGCCCTAAAATAAATTTTTCCTCCTTAAAATTGTCCTTGTCAGGTCTTTTGGTCACAGCAGGAAAATAGCTGACTAAACACACTTTCATTCATGTTCTCAAGACACAGCCCCTTAAACCCTGTTCCTTATTCTTCTGGAGAACCAAACATGGGCCTATATTATGCCCCATTTTTCTTTTATTAAAAAAAAAATATGCTATTTAGCTTTGTTTAGCCATTCCGAAATGTGTACATATATCAAATCTCATTTTGCACACCATAAGTATACACATTTTTTATTTGTGAATTAAAACATTAATAATTTGGTTATGCCCAATGGTACATGCCTGTAATCCCAATACTTGAGAGGCTGAGACAGGAGGATTGAAAGTTTGAGGCCAGTCTGATGACCCTATTTTCTGATTTTCAACCTAGAGTAGTAATTAGGATCTTCTGCTTTGTGACTCTTTTGTACATATCCTTTCCCTGTTTTTAAATTCTAATTACTGCCCTTTATTTGTTCATTCTTATAGGAGTTCCTGTTCATGCAAATGTACTGTCAAATATCTATCACCTATTTATTATCTGTGCCATTGAACAAAATCCTGAATTTTGAGGTAATGACAGCCATCCATTATTTTCATTTCAGTTTGTGCTTTTATAGTTGTAGGGACTTTCTCAGCCCCCTTAGCTCTTCATTAATGCCTTCTCTTTTGTCTTTCACACTTAGCTCCTTAATCAGTCTATAATCTACCCCTGTAGGTGGTATTAGAAAGTTATCCAATTTTACTTTTATTCTTCTTCAGATAGGGAGATTGTTTCCCCAGATCATTCACTACGTGATCTCTTGTTTACCCATTAATTGATTTTTATACTTTTTTATTACGTCTCATACAAACAGGGTGAGTCACTCAGGGATCAAGTTCCCTTAATCCATTCATCTGTTCTTGTGCCAAATGAACTAAGTCTTTATTAACTCATGGCTTTTAGATTGTCTTAATATCTGGCAGACGACATCCACACTTTTGATTTCTCTTAAGATTTGCTAGATATTGACAGATTTCTATTCCTTCATGTATATATTTGAATAAATAGAGTGCAGCTCCTCAAAAAACATCCAACCAAGGAAGGAAATAATTAAGATTGGCGCTGAAGTCAAGGAAATAGAGAATGAAAAACAATACAAAGCATCAATGAAGTGAAGGTTTGGTTCTTTTTGTTTGTTTGTTTGTTTGTTTGTTTGTTTTTAAGAGTTGGTTCTTTGAAAATATGAACAAATTTGAAAAACCCTTAGCCAAACTAACCAAAAGAAAAAGAAAGAAGATCAAAATTAATAAAATTAGAGATTAAAGGGGAGAAGTCACCACAGACTCACTGAAATCCAGAGAACTATTAGGGACTCTTTTGAAAACCTGTACTCCACTATATTAAAAGACCTAGAAGAAACACATTTCTTGACACATGTGACCTGTCAAAATTGAGCCAAGAGAATACAGAAAACCTAAACAGACCAATAACTAGCAATGAGATAGGAACAGAAATACAAAGTCTTCCAACAAGGGAAAGTCCAGGACCCAATGGACTTTCAGCTGATTGTACTAGATCATTAAAGAAGAATGAATGCCAGCACTCTCAAACTATTCCCTAAAACAGAATGGGATGGAATACTCCCAAATTCATTCTATGAAGCCAGTGTCACACTCACAACAAGACTAGATAAGGACATGTCAAGGTAAGAAACTACAGACAAATATCCCTGATGAATTTAGATGCAAAAGTCCTCAATAAAATATTACAAATCATATTCAAAAGTACATCAAGATTAAGTTGGAGTCATTCCAAGGATGTGAGGATGGTTCGACATATGCAGATCAATAAGTGTAATTCACCACCCAAATAATTAAGAACAAAAAATCACATAGTCATCTCAATAGATGCAGAGAAAGTCTTTGACAAAAATCATCAACAATTTATGATAAGAACACAGAAGAAACTAGGGATAGAAGAACTTACCTCAATAATATAAAGGATCTCTATGACAAACCCAAAGACAAATTCATAGTGAACAGTGAAAAACTCTAAAACCAGGAACAAAATAAGGACATCTACTCTCACCATTCCTTTTAAATATAATTCTTGATGTACTTTATCCAAAGTACATGTATGAAGACACAAATTGGTGTGAATATATTTTGCATACAACCAGAGAAATATGAAAATTGTGCTCTATATGTGTAATATAAATTGTAATGCATTCCACTGTCATATATAAATTTTAAAAAATTAATAAACTAAAATAAATAAATAGAATTATTGAAACACTAGCCAGAGTAATCAAGCTAGAAAAGGAAATAAAAAGGAAAGAAGGTCAAATTATGCTGTTTCTACATGATATGATCCTATACTTAGAAGATCCACGAGCTCCACCACAAGACTTCTAGAATTTATAAAGTCACCAAAATAGAAGGATGAAAAAATCAACATACGAAATCCAGTAGCTTTCCTATATACCAAGGATGAATTGGCTGAAAAAGAAATCAGGAAAATTCCAGTCAGAAAACAAATACCTAGGAATAAATCTAACCAACGAGATGAAAGACCTCTACAATGAAAAATAAAAAAGCACTGAAGAAAAGAATTGAGGAAGACTCTAGAAGACGGCAAGACTTCCCATGTTTCATGCTTATACAGAATTAATATTATTAAATGTCCACATTTTCAAAAGTCATATACAGGTTCAAGCCAATCCCATTAAAAAACCAAAGTCATTCTTCACAGAACTAGAAAAAAATAGTCCTAAAATTCATTTGGAAGAATAAAAGATCCAGAATTGTTAAAGCAATTCTAAGTCATAAAAACAATGCTAGGGACATCACAATATTGGATCTCAAATCATTCTGCAGAGCAATAGTAACAAAAGCTGCACGGCATTGGCATAAAAACAGACACATAGACTAATGGATCAGAATAGAATCAAGTTCACATAGATGCAGTCATCTGATCCTTGAGAAAAGATCCCAAAACATATATTAGAGAAAAAAATAGCCTCTTTAACAAATGATGCTGGGGAGACTGGATATCAATATATAGAAGAATTAAACTAGATCCTTATCTCTCAACCTGAAATGGTTCAAAGACCAAGGACAAAGACTAGAAATGAAACTTTTCAACAGCTAGAAGAAAAAATAGGGTCAACACTCCAACATATAGGCACAGGCTATGATTTTCTTAATAGGACTCCTAAAGCTCAGGAAATTATACCAAGAGTTAATAAGTGAGATGGTATCAGATTAAAAAGTTTCTGCATAGGAAAGGAATCACGCATGTGAAGAGATAACCTACAGAATGGGAGAAAATCTTTGCTAGCTACTCTTCTGTCAGAATACGTAAAAAATTCAAAATACTTAATACCCAAAATCAAATAACCCCATTAATAAATGAGCAAATGAATGAAATAGATACTTCTCAAAAGAAGAAATACAAATTACCAACAAATATATGAAAAAATGTTCCATATCTTTAGCAAATTAGGTAAATGCAAATCAAAACTATATGGAGATTTCATCTCACTCCAGTTGAAATGGCAGCCATCAAGAATACAAATAACAACAGAAGTTGAAGATATGGGGGGAAAGGAACACTTTCGCACTGTTGGTGGAATCGTAAATTAGTACATCCACTATGGGAATCAATATGGAGGTTCCTCAAAAGACTGAGAATAGAACCACCATATGACCCAGCTATATCACTCCTTGGTATTTATCCTAAAGAATCAAAGTCAATGTACTGTAGAGATATATGCATATGCATGTTTCTAGGAACACAATTCACTAAATAAATAAATAAATAAGGAACCAGCCTTATCAATAAATGAATGGATAAAGCCAATGTGGCATTTATATACCTTGGAGTTTTATTCAGTCTTAAAGAAGAATGAAAAATCATGTCATTTGCTAATAAATGGATAGAACTGGAGAACATAATGCTAAGTTAAATAACCCAAAGTCAGAAAGTAAAGGGTTGCATGTTTTCTCTCATATGTAGAAGCTATTGAAAAACAAAAAGAGAAAAAAAATGTGTGTAGAGTGGGATCTCATAAAAATAGAGGGAGACAGTAGAGTAAGAGGAAGGGGGAGGGGAGGGGATGGGAAGGGACTGCAGAATGAAATTGACCAAATTTATAATGCACCTATAAAACAGAAAAAAAAGTCCAGCTGAAATTTTGACTATAATTGTATTTCATTCATAGATTAATTTCTGTAATAAGTGGTTTTATCTGAACATGTGGGCTTCTTTGGGTT